TTAAGGCATTTTTTAGCCCGGCTATCAGGGCTTCATATTCAGTAATGTTATTGGTACATGAGAAATTCAATCTGATGGTTGTTGGCATTAAAACTTTCTCGGGTAGCATAATATGATACATATACCTGACCAGTATTCGTTCCTTGCACCGTCGAAGTATAGCTCCCAAATTGATTCTTCAATTATGAAAATGTTCTCATCAGGGAGATCCGTGTTGACGGGAGTATTATCTGGCAGTGCGTGTTCAGCCAAGTGGTCAGCAATGGCTTGTCCTTTGATCGATTTTTGAGTAACATATTTGATCTCGAACTCGCTCAATAGCATTCTTCACTTCACCAAACGTTCGTTAAGGACTGATTTTTCCAATAGGTACTTGAGTGGGTCTATTTTTAGATGAGTTTGACTGTATGAGATAAGACATAATGTCTTAATTTCTGCATAGACCACAATAGTGTTAAGCAATGCTTCTCCACGTCTGTGTATCTTGTCTCATAGTCGACCATGGTTTTGTTGATGTACTATATCGTTTGTTCTTTTCCATGGTTGTTGTATTGTCCGAGCATTGCCCTCATGGTCTTGTCTTTCACAGATATGTATAAGAATAGGGGTTTATCTGAACTAGGAGGACTAAGGATGGGAGGTTTAGTTAGGTACTCCTTAATTTAGTCGACATTGGTGGTGTCTCCCCGCAAACACGCTTAGTGTCGCCTAAAAAAATTTGGAAAAAAACTGTATAAAAAGGCAAGAAAATCACTCCAAAAGTAAAATTTCCAATTTGGGACAAAAAACGTTGGGTGACACCAGTGGTGTCACACAAACCAAAACTAGTCCAAATTGAATTTTTTCTTTTCAAGTGTGTTCCTCATCCTCTTGTGAAGCTCTTAGAGAAATATTGGGTCAAAATGGATTTTTCTACTATTTTTAATGATATTTGTGGTAAAATAGGGCGTCTGCAGGATTTTGGGTCCGAACAAGGCTTTTGCAGGGTTTTGGGTGGGCAAACTAGTTCTAGGTCACAGGATAGGCAGTGTTAACTATAGATTTGGGTTTACTAAAATAAGTGTAATCCTAAGGGTTCAAGAAACCATCTACAATGCTATGTACTGTCCTCGGATTGCACTTTTCCTGGAAAATGTTTTTTGAGGTTTGATCCAATACGTACAACCTATGTGATTGGTCACCCTCACAATCTTCTTCCGAGATACCGGATTCTAAAAAACATCTTTGTCAACAGAAAAAATAGCCAAGCAATTATAGCGTTTTGTGATATGATTAACTGACAAAATATTCGAATGTATAAGACTTCTAATGGTACCATAGTTCACCAATGACACATGATTCCTTGAAGACATGTGCTCAAATCCTTCGAGTCCTTCACAATGGCCCGTCATATGAACTATAGCTTTAGTATCAAAAATCCAAGTATGACAATTAGTAGAGGATATGTGAGCAGCAAAATTACCTTAAGAAATAGGTGGTATCTACGAAGACAAAGCAATGTTCGTTTTTCCAATTTGGTGGCCTTTATGCATTACAATGTGTGAACCAAAATTTTGATCCCACATTTTAGAGGAAAAAGCTTAGAGATTACCTAATTTAAGGTAAAGATACGCACAAACTGGTATTACTACTTCAATAGAAGAATTTTGCTGAGATACAAATGTTTGTTGACGGAGATTTCAATAAAATTGTTGTTGTTGCTGCTTCAATAGATACCATTGAGATGCCCAAAATTTTAAAATTTGACAAATAAGTGTTTGTAAATCTTTGCACGGAAATTTGCTCTTGCTCAGAGATCTAAATTGATTTGCTTGCAAAGCTTTACTTTGCTCAAATTTGCTCTTGCATGGAGTTTGAATTGATTTGCTTGCAAAGCTTTGAAAGAAATAATAGGTTGTAGATAATACCACGCAATGAGAAGCGACCAGTTGAATGCAAGCCAATGGGAAGAAACAGTTTGCATCAATGAGAAGCTACGAATTTGTTTGCTTGCAAAGAACAAAGGAAGCTACAAATTTCTTGCGAATTAATTTGCAAGCCGAATATGCCTGCAGTTGAAGGGCTATTCAGTTTTACGTAGTTCGTTCTCTTGGATCTATGCCTACAGTTGAAGGGCTATTGAGTTAGTTATGTCATTATTTCATTCACCCAGCATTAAATAGAAGACACACGATAACAACAAAATAGAAAGTGATTCCCTAAATATCTCCTAAATATATCCTCAAAATATTTTTCAAATTTAATTACCAAAACAACCAATAGAAAATTACCAACCCAAAAAAAAAAACCAAAAGAAAATTACCCCAAATCTGGCTTACTCGTCTCATCTCCTAACCTCAAAATTGGTTTTGCCCCTCAAAAAGACTCGAGAGTCTGAAATTCTAATAGTGTTTTTTCCCTTGAATAAAAAAAGAGGGCATCAAAAATTTAAGAACAACAACAAATTTCAATGTTTTTGATGGGTTCCAAAACTTCAATGCATTGTCCCAAAAAAACCACAATATGGCGACAATTTGAACATGTAAGAGATAATCAGTGATCACCCTGCCTGCTGCTCAAACGCAGCTGAAAACTTGCCGGCCGCCAACAACAGGCAAATCAGTCATGTTTTGGAGAGATAAAGAGTCAACTGAGAAAAAACCACAAGAAAAGGATTTAAGCACACAGAGTCGATACCTCCACATGGCACCACATGCAAGAGATAACCAAGAGAACTGCCCCTCTCTCTCTCCAACAACTTTGTTTGATTCAATCCACAAGCCAACCTCTCTACAGTCAACTACGTACATTTATAGCCATTGTTTCCAAAAGATAAAAACCACAACTCCAACTCCCTATTTCCATGTTAATGCGCGGAGTGGAGACCTCTACCATGCACCACAATCGAGAGAACTTTCTCTCTCCCTCTCTCCAAGAACTTTGTTTCATTCCATTCAAAAGCCAACCTCTTTACAATCAATTACTTACATTTTTAAGCACTATTTCTAAAAGATAAATCATAACTCCCTAATTTTTAAGCACCATTCAAGAGTGGGCTTTCAACCCCTACAAAAGATATTAACAAAACATCCTTCCTAAAAAGAAATGAACTTCACATTTGCGTAACTTTCTACCTGAAAAAGAGCCTAGGCTTAAATAGTTACCCTCTCCCCAATTTCCTATCAAGGGCAGGGCCCTCTCCCCCACTTAATCACCCAAGAAAAAGAACTTTCTATAAAAAAAATATAAGTATCACCAAAAAATTTTTCATATTAATCTTATTTTTAAAAATTATTCTCAAGTTTAAAAAATTGATCGGTACCCCGGATTAGGCACCCCAAAAACCCATTCAGATCGATGAATCGGTTGAGGGAAAATTAGGTTTGAATTAGGAATCTCTTGATCAGGAGACATATGTGATAACCAATTAAACCACAATTCCACTTGTTGTCTTATCTTTTATAATAAAAAGGTATGTTGTATTACCTTTTCAAGCTCTAAATACCATGCTCAAATCCCACATCGAAAAAACTTTGAGTTCCATAAAACCCTCTTTGGTACCATAATTTATCATGTGTGCAAAAAGCATGATCATGAGGCTGACAGAGGTACATGCCTTAACGTGGCCACATCATAATCTCTCATTGCCGACTCGTTTGTCTCGTTTCTAAACACCATCTTGTTTTGAGTTAGAATCGACACGAATATTTTTAAAACTCCCCACGAATATTTTTAAAACTCCTTATTTTTAAACCTCCCCACAAATATTTTTAAAACTCCTGATCTGTAAAAAATTTCAACTAAACCAACCGGTGATTTTTAAACTTCCCAAAGCAAATGCAAAAATTTCAACTAAACCAGTAATTAATCTTAATAAATAAAAAAAACTACCTATATTTCTAAAAATAAAATTCTCTAGAATCTAGAATCGACATGAATTGCCCGAATCGACACATATATTTTAAGAATCTAGAATCGACATGAATTGCCCGCGATTTTTAAACCTCAAAAAGCAAATGCAAAAAATTTCAACTAAACCAAAAAAACTAAACCACTAATTAATCTTAATAAATAAAAAAATCTATCTATTTTTCTAAAAATAAAATTCTCTAGAATCTAGAATCGACATGAATTGCCCAAATCGACACGAATATTTTTAGAATCTAGAATCGACATGAATTGCCCGAATCGACACGAATATATTTAAAACTCCTGATCTGCAAAAAATTTCAACTAAACCAACTGGTGATTTTTAAACCTCCCAAAGCAAATGCAAAAAATTTCAACTAAACCAAAAAAACTAAACCACTAATTAATCTTAATAAATAAAAAAATATACCTATTTTTCTAAAACTAAAATTAATAAATTAAAATTAAAAATCTCCTGATCTGCAAAAATTTCGACTAAACCAAAAAAACTAAACCACTGATTAATCTTAATAAAAATAAAAAGTCTACCTATATTTCTAAAAATAAAATTAACAAAATTAAAATTTTTTACCAAACATATCCTGCAAAAAATTTCAACTAAACCAAAAAAACTCATGCGAATCTTACTTCTAAAAATTAATCCTAATAAAAAATAAAAAGTCTACCTATATCTCTAAAAATAAAATTAACTACAAAAAATTTCAAGTAAGCCAAAAAAAAATTCATGCGAATCTTATTTCTAAAATTTAATCCTAATAAAAAATAAAAATTTACCCATATCTCTAAAAATAAAATTAAGAAAATTAATATTAAAATTTTGTACCAACGAAATAATGATGTGCATCAAAATCCAAGATTACAATACAAACCCATGCCGCATCAAAATCCAAGATTACTTACTTACAATATATGCCACACATTGAGTGATAGAGAGGAAAGAGATTTCTACAAAATCAGCATCATATCTAGAAAGAGAGAAATTTCTACAAAATCAGCATCATATCTTCACAAAACAGCAAAACCCCAAAACAGGGTAGAGGCCCCAAAACAGCAGCAAAACCAGAAACCAAGCCATGTATTTACAGGCCAAGATATGGATAATCCGTATCATCACAAAACTAGAATGTTACAACTTACTGATCAAGACATGGAGAAAACACCAAACAAAACCCAACAAAATGCACACAAGAAAGCCCTTCAAACTTCAACTTTCCAATGTCCAATCAACAACAAATTGGGCAATGAATCAACCCATTTTCGTTGCAGTCTCCACATCTCACTACCTTATTTTCATCATCTCGAACCTTACAACTCCCATTGCAATCAACACAAAGAACAAATCTCACTCCTCCACAACCATCACAAGCCTTTATTCCCCCTGATCTTGGCAAACCCCTAAAGAGAAACCCTAATTTCTCCTCTTCCTCCATGCTGACCACCTCGTCTACACTCCCAATTAGCCTCCCTTTCACAAAGAGCATAGGCACATTTGCCGTTTTGCCCCCCATCAAGCCCCTTAATTCCTCTCGGAAACCCGAATCCATTGATATATCTCTCTCTATCAACCGTACATCAAACGCTTCAGTGGCTGATCTCACCCTGTTGCAGTCCTCAAATGTCTTTCTGATCCCTCGCAAAGTAGTCGTGTACAAAATTACTGAATTTTCCCCACCTGGGGGGCACCTCTTCTCAAACTTCTCCAAAGGAAAGGAGGGACTTTTCTGGTTTGTTTTGGGCTCTTCATACAATTCCCTCTCTAGAGAGGCAATGAGCTCGGGGTCAAACAACGGGCTGTTGGATCCTTTTGATGCAGAGAAATTGGTTGCTGGTTTTCTGAAACTATGGGGTTTTACATCAATCTGAGGGTTCTTTGATCCATATTCTGTTTTGGGTTTGTCTCTCTCTAGATTCTCTAAGGAGTTGAAAGGTTTGAGTACCTGTCTCTCATTAGGTTGGGCTTCCACTCCGGGCTTGTTCTCCTTTCCTCCGGAATACTTCTTAGGCTTCAATGGAGACTTCAACTGGTTAGAGCTCCTTCGAGCTCTTGACTCATTCTCGGCCACTGAAGAGAGAGAAACTTTCGAGGGCTTTTTCGATGACACAGATTGTGGGGCCTCGTCTTCAAGGCCTTCCATTAGCTCCCACGCATTGATGATCTCTGGTTCTCCACGAAACCCACAGGCTTTCGGACTCGATGTCAAAGAATCCACACCAAATCTGAAGAACCCATGATGGGTTTCTGGTGTTTCAGTGAAACCTTGAGGGTGATCAAGCTTGAGGGCTCCATAGGTGCTTGAAGTGAGAGAAACAATGTGATGGGAGTGGCTGTAAGGGGATGTTTCTCTCTCTCGATCTGCCTCCTCTCTAGCCAGTTTGGAAGAGACACAACCCATTGATCGCCAACTTTCTCTCTCTAAGTCTTCCTCTCAGAGATTCCCATTCAAAAGGAAACCTGGTTCTTAGCAGTGAGGCGGGTTAACAATCTGAAATTCCAACGGTAACTTTTTGGGACGCAACGGTCGGGAAAATTTAACGCCTGGATTTTGTTGGTTTGTCCCCGTTAAGACAGCATTATCATTATAAAATTCCAAAGGAGTTCATGTTCGCGAAGGAGCGCACTGTCTATTTATTCTCTTGGGCAAAACCCAATCGATAAGCATCTTTTAGGACCTTAAATTTGGGGATGCAACGATCTTCAGCCCCATATGTTATATTCAATAAAAAAAATTAAAAATTACATATATTTATTTTTTGGTTTGAAAAAAATAATACCTCAATGGAAACTATCCAATTTTTTAAGGGTTAGACCTAAGTTTAGAAACTCAAATTTCAACTTTTTTTTTTTTTTCTTTTGACACAATTATAGAGTGATTTTTAGATGGTTCCAAAAATTCAGATAAAAAAATCTTCCTAAGTTAATATTTTACTTGAAGGAGTAAATGTATGGCATGCTCCTTGCCTGAGTAGAGTCTGGGTACTTGTAGACCTGATATTTAAGTAAGAACATGTATACTATACTCCTACACGAGCATATACTCCGCATCTACTCCCTCACTCAATAAAGTTCTTAAAGAAGATCTTTTTTAGTCTAAAATTTTGGAAACCTCACAAGAATCACTAGATGATTATTTTCAAAAGAAAAAAACAAAAATGAATTTTGAGTTTTTGTAACCTTTAGAGCTAAAGCTTAAAAATTTGATCAGTTTTTGTTTAATCTTGAGGCATAACAATTTTCTAGTAGGTAGAGAGTTTATTTTAGAAATTTTTTTATTGATATTAGTCTAGGAAATGATTTCTATACTTCCCCTACAGCATAGAAGATCTATGCTTCCCCTACTATCCAGCCATCCAATATTGATCAAGTGAGCCACTCACCATTTGATCCTAAATCCGACGCCTCATAATATTTTATTTTTAAATTTTTAATACAAAGTCTATGAATATGAAGTTTGGTACGTATCATCTTCTCATTGGGGCACACCTATAAAAAATATTAAAAATAAATTTTTGATAAAATATAATGACACAAATACCCCTTGAAAATTTTATGGGTATTTTGGTTATTTTATTTTAGTGATAATATATATATATATATATATATATATATATTACAAGTGCGAGTTTAATAGAGGATTAGACGCCCAAATTTTGGTATCCAAATGTTTTATATAAAAACATTAAAAATAAAATAGTGTAGAGATGTGACATTGTGATTGGGACAATCTTAGCCCTTTATGCAAAATGGACGGTTGAATAAGGAGACGCATATAAGTTTTATGTTATAAGGGAAACTTAGAAAGCTTGCACATTAGTCTATAAGTCGTAGATATTACATCTCAAAATTTGACACCTAAAAAGCTTCTCTAGCACATATTTTGCCTAAGGGAGTAACAGATAATATAGTCCCGTGGGAGTAATAAATCTTTTGTCCCCGTAATGAGTAAATAAAGCAAAGAAGTTAATTATGTGCCCTTTTTTTATTTTCTTCTTTTTTCTTTTTGGTGGGGGCAACTAATATAGCCACCCAATTATTTATGGCAAATCTCCAATGAAACTCCAAAACAGTGGGTGGAAAATGAAAAACGTGGAGTGGCTAAACCATCCCTCTTTGTTTTTTATATTTGAAACTTGTCGAGATCGTGCGATAATATTTTATCTTTAAACATGGGATACAAAAAAGTTGAGACGTAAAAGCTATAAATTGTCTTCTTTTGGTTTTTCTTTTTCTCCTTTCACTTTTTGTTTTGTTTAAAGAGGTTCGTTTTTTAGTCTTCCTCCCACCTGGTTCTTAAATGAAACTTGCAATAAACAATTCAAGTCGGATGAATGTGATTACTAGCAACACTTCATACACTCTTTTATTTTTGGAGAAACGAGTATCCTATGCTCCTAAGTGGAGCCCTCTTTTGAAAGTACTTCTTGGGAAGATTTTTTTCAATCTAAAAATTCTAAAATTTACTTGACTCAATTTTCAAAAAAAAAAAAACATACTTAAGAGTCGCTGGATGAATTTTTCACAAATAAATCTTTGAGTTTTTGTAAACTTGGATCTCACCCTCTAAAAGTGAGATGCAGTATGTTCAGTTTTGGGATATTATTTTTTTCAAACTTATACTTGTGCAACATATATGGAATACAAGTTTAGTAATAATGGAAGTAGAGACGAGGAAGTAATTAAGAATGATAGTCAGGAAGTACAAAAAAAAAGTACTTTCGATATCTTGGGTCTATAATTCAAGAAAATAGAGAGATTGATGAAGATGTCTCCCATAGAATTAGAGCTAGTGGCTGAAGTGGAGATGTGCAAGTGGAATTTTATGTGATCGCCGCAAACCAATGAAGATGAAAGGCAAGTTCTACGGCATATATTAAAAACTCAAAATACTATATAGAACTATCTCTTTATTGACTAATAAAGAATATACAAGACCCGTATAAATATACGGCTAGTAACAATTTTGGATAGACACCAACAGTTATTGATAATTACTAACTAATCTTATCATAATCCTAGACACCTCATCTTATAAAGAGATATATACCCATATAATCAATAGACATGTATACGCTAACACTCTCCCTCAAACTCTGGATGCTTTGATACAAAGCATTGCATAAATGAGTTGGATCTTTAAGGCTTCACGTGCATGGCGTAAACTCCATATTGGCATAAACTCCAGATCTTCACCGGGAGTAAACTCCAGATTGGCGTAATCTCCAGATCTTCATCGAGAGAGCTGAGAAAACAGAATGGCACTTGGAAGAGCAAACAAAACTCGGTGTGGATCCAAGACAGATTCAACAACTCGCAGTATGAGACAGTTTCACCAACTCACAGTCTAGAACACAAGGCACAACAAAGACAAAGGCTATTTTGCAGAGAGTCGAAACACAACTCAGCAGATAGTCAGAACACGACTGGGCAGATAACAGATGAGTCAAAAGCGAATCTGAGGCCTTTAGCAATGCTTCCTTAGTCTATGAGTTTCCCTCACTAATACTAGTATTGATTGATTCAACCATGGACGATTGATTGATTCAATCATGAACGAAGGGGAGAGCTGAAGTTTTTGTACAATGGGGGACTCTTTTTTAATGGTAACCCCGAGATCAGGGGTTAGATTTTCCTTTGTGCTTATGAGCTTCTCTCACTAAACTGAGTGTTGATTGATTTAACCATGGACGAAGGGGAGAGCTGAAGTTTTTGTGCAAAAGGGGAGTCTTTTTTATGGTAATGCCGAGATCAGATGTTAGATTTTCCTTTGCGTTGGATTCTTCAAAGTGCAATAAGGAAATTCGAATTGCACGGTCAAGACCCTTCAAAGTGCCTTCAAAGTGCAATAAGCAAATTCAAATTGCATAGTCAAGACCCATTGAAAGTGAGGACGTCATTGCTAAGGAAGTGATGATTGCTAAGGATAAGATAGATCCAGCAGCTGTTGATGCCCTGGATCTTTTGGTGAGAAAAATGAGGGACGAGAAGTATGGTTGGAAATATGGGTGCAGGGCTAAGGGGTTTGGTGCACAAAAGGCCTTGGTTCCTTTGGTGAGAAAAATAAGGGATGGGGTGCACAAAAGATTCAGCTTTGATACCATATTAGAAACTCAAAATACTACAGAGAACTCTCTCTTTATTGATTAATAAAGAATATACAAGACCCGTATAAGTATACGACTAGTAACAGTTCTGGATAGATCCCAACAATTATTGATAATTACTAGGGAAATGACCCTGTGAGATCTTGCCACACTTAATAGCATGGGACCCCAATCTAGGCCGTTGGATGAATCTCAAATCTCAAAGCAATATCGAGGTGTTACTGCGTAACATGTAAAGAAGGTTAAAGTTGAACGCATGTACTCTCTTAAAACTCTCGTCTTCATTTCTCTCTCTAAATACTTTCTCTCTATCTATTCTCTCGCTCTACAAACAGATAAGGTGTGAATATATCCTCTCTCTCTCTAAAAATAGATAAAGACTAAATCTTTGTCATCTCTCCCTCTAAAAATCACAGGTAGGCATGGAGTCCGACAATTTCTTTCTCTCTCTAATGCCCTCTTTCTTCTCTCCCATCGCCTCTTCTATTTTCTCTTTTCTCCCATCTCCTCTTATATGGAGTATCCAATTTTTATACCTCTATTGTTTTATAGTTTTTCCCCAAATCTCATTGTGGTGCATATCCGCCCTATTCTTTTCTCAGTAGTGCACTTGCTTTTAAATTATTTTCACTCAAGAACAAAATCCAAACCCACAAGGTACTCAAACCTAAGAACCTAACCCTAATCTCTAATGAGGAAATTCAAAACAAATCTTAATTTCCAATGAGGAGAATCATCAGTTAGTTTTCATAGGCAGGCTGAAGAAGCTCCTGTTCATGAGCAAAGAGAAGGCTTTCGTTACAAATAATGGAAGCTATGAGGTGGTATCTGAGTTTACTAATGGATTATTTGAAGATTTTAGAGATGGAAGATGGGAAACAATGTCTAAGCTTTAATTGTGAAGCTTGAAGGTACACATATTTTTACGCAGCAAAAATATATGAGAGAAAGTGGGCCGATTGCTTTCTCTTTCTACCCCTTGAAAGGGCTTTGATTAAAGTGAAAAATCGAAGATTGGGTCGAAGAATTGCATAAAATTCCCCATGTATCCATATGAAAACTCCTCCGATTTGAATCCAAATGGTGATATTTCATAGAAGAGAGTTGTTGCGATTTTGCATGAATTGCTAGTCCTTTATATAGAAAATTTAAGAGAGAAAGAAATTGCGCTGTCTGAGGAAGTAGGTGGGCTTGGCTGTGAAATATGGCCTCTTTAATTTTTCTTATAGTCAGAAGTCTGAGCTCTCTCTCTATGTTACCATGAAATTTGGAGGCAAGTGGGAGAGGAGGGGAGAGAGAGAGGGGGTTTTCTCTCTGTTTAAGTCAGGGGAAGAAAGGTCCATCTTTATCCGCCCCCTCTCTTCTTGCTTTTCTTCCTCCGT